AAGTTATAATACCCTTGTGCACAAGTGCGCTCGGGTATAAAAATTTATGGCATCTGTATCAACCAACAAAATAGGTCTGTGTAATGAACAGAAAAAAGTTCAGAGCAGGGCAGCTGTCAAAATAGAAACAGAGCAACTCAGGCTGTGTGTCAATTGGTATATTTTTTCGTCAGAGTAAAATGAGGTGAACAAATGGGTAAACTTTACGAGAGTGCACCAGGCTTTGGGAAAAACTACTTTGGGGGAATGGTAGAGGGGGTCTTACACATCACAGCTGTGAAAGTAGACCCGAGAGGAAATTAATATTTTAGTGTATATATATATATGGGACCCTACCAAGGGTAAACTTTACGAGAGTGCACCAGGCTTTGGGAAAAACTGCTTTGGGTGAATGGTAGAGGGGGTCTTACACATCACAGCTGTGAAAGTAGACCCGAGAGGAAATTAATATTTTAGTGTGTAAATATATGGGGACCTACCAAAAATCTGATAAAATATATCAAATGGGGTACCCAAAGACGCGTATTTACTTCTAGATTAAGAATCAGAAAACAGAATATCTCAATTCGATGAAAAGTTATCTGCGAAAAACCGCGCAAAAGCCCCTAAAAATTACACTTTCCGGTAAGAGACCGGGGGTTTAATCCACAATTTTTTTGTGTGAAACACCACCGACGGCTATTTTTATTATTTTGACATGTTGTCCCTTTTCTAAAGCATGGTGCACTCTCGTAAAGTTTACCCTTGGTAGGGTCCCATATATATATATACACTAAAATATTAATTTCCTCTCGGGTCTACTTTCACAGCTGTGATGTGTAAGACCCCCTCTATCATTCCCCCAAAGTAGTTTTTCCCAAAGCCTGGTGCACTCTCGTAAAGTTTACCCTGTTTTGAGCATACTCATGAAACAAAAGATAGAGCAGTGTTCATTAAACACAATTTTATGAAATATCTCAACCTGGCGTAAGCTAGAGCAGTCAATAAACAAACCTAATAGGGAACCAAATGTGGATTTTAAGAAAATAATCCAAAAAAAACAAGTAAGTAGGAAAAACAGACGAAAAAGACGAAAACTTTAAGTAAAAGTTAAAAAAAAAGTTGCCCAAATGGTCTCCAAAAACCGTGAGGGGTGTTTTTTTTACAAAAATGTCCTGCTTGATTGCATTTAAAGTATGAACAGCCCTGTATAAATCCTTACCCGAGCGAGGCTTTCTTTTGGGAATAGTGCGCAAATCTCCGAGACAACGGCAGCGAAATCGTTAGGCCTCAAGTGGACGTTCTGAAAAATTATATGCTCCACAATTATGTTGATGAGTACGTCACGGTTTGCGTTTTTAAAGCACTGCTTAGTGGCGTACACTTCTAGTAGGGCTCTTCCCTTAGCAGTTTCATCCAAAAGACTTGATAAATCCTAAATATAGTAGACAAAAAATTAAAATGTTTACTAAAAGTTGCGCATTAATTACTTTATTAAGACAGCCATGGACATTGGGTATATCTTGAAGAGGGGATGGCGCTGGAGATGAACTTTAAAGCTGCTTTGTTTCACCCATTTTAGAATGTCCGACCTTAACGAATCTTCTTCTTCACATTCAATACCAAACTAAAAATTATTTGAAAGAAAAAATCATTTCAAAATACTTGAGATAGGCTGCAAAGCACTACTTACCTCTTTCTTTCTCCATTCAAAGAGCTTGCTACGAAATTTTGCCCGGAGGCCAATCGGTGGAATAGCCTCCTTTATGTCATCCTTTTCTAGATACTGAAGGCTGTCAAAAGTTACCTGCGCATCTACACTTATATATATATATACATATTTAAAATTAGAATTTGTTAATATTAATAATAATAGACAAACTTGCTTTGAAGGTACACCAAAACTTTTGCTAATCCATGATCGTTCAGCCATTCGACCAGCTTTTTTCTATCTTCTTCGTCATTGGCTTCATCGATGGACACATTATTTTGGTCACTTTCAGTAAAATTCACATTCTCGAGTGCAAATTCTTGAACAATTGCGCTTTGTTCTTCCATAATTGTAACAATTTCACCATTTTCGGTGGATAAAACACCGTCTTTTAAATTTAATTTAATCGACATTTTTTCAAGCACGTGAAATAATTTGCAGCAAAGAACGAATCAGCTGATTGATTTAAAATGTTGCCATAGGTATTGATTTAATAATGATTCTTATTGATTCAATGCATTGCAATTTTGCTCAATGTTGTTTCAATATTGATTTAATGTTGTGCAATTTAGATTTAAAAATGTTTCAACTTAGCGTTAGAACCAATATCAAAAAATTTTAAAATATATGGTGCAAAATTAAAATAAAATTATTTCAATATTATTTTCGAAATAATTAATGAATACAATCAAATCAAAGTTGGAAATTGTTGAATTAATTTATTTAAATATTGTTTTTGCCCTAAGTTGAAAGATATTGAATTAATATTTCGCGATATTGTTTTTACAATGCACTTTTTGGCTCAGTGTATGTGTATTGGATTTCTGTAGAACAACGATACTCACCCATTTTAAAATTGCCACCAAATAGACTATACAGGTTCAATGACCCAATCATCGTTATCGCCAGGAATTGAAAAAGAAAAAATTTTTCAAATATACCGTGCTGTTAAACGGTAAAACATTGGATGATTTCAAGAACTTCATAACGGACTTACACTTTCGTTAGGTTATTTAGCTCCTTGTCTACCGTGGAAAAAACTAGTGTTACCCACCATTCATGTCTATTGGACCCCTGTGTAACTAATAATAATGTGTCTAACGAGCTCGGGCTGGTAGTTCCCGCTAGATTTACAATAGCAATACCAATTATTTAAGAAAACAACTGTCATGATCAAAAATGTATAGACTATATGAAATTAGGGAAAGTAAAGAAATTACGGAGCTCAAAAGTATCAGACATTGATATGGAAACAGAATATAATCTCTTTCGGCTCCTTGGACCCGGCCGGTAGACAAAGTATCAAGATGGCAATAGATATATGCCTTCTGACAACCACCAAATTGTAATATTGGCATATAAATGTTACAGTGGAAATCGTTATCGTGAATTGCTGGTGAAAATGTTGGGAAAAAAATGTTTCATTAAAAAAAAAAAATAGTTTTGGGCAAGACGAAGTTCGCCGGGTCTGATAGTAGAACTATAAATTCCATAAAAATTTATAACTTTTTCACGTTTATCAGCAGTTTGTGACGTCAGATGTAAGGATGTACATATGTATACCCCTAATATTTAATTCGCTTAAAATTTTACGGTGAATGAATGGAAAATATTCGTCCAATTTGAATATGTGCAAACTTTACATAAAAGAAAATACGGAAAGTTCGTCGAAACACTGAATACATTTAGAGCGCGTAAAGTACAGAGTGTTCAAGGTTGCCGTTGGGGTGCATTGCTGCTCGACCTAAGCACAGCAACAACATATTGTCCCGTTGGTTTAAACTAAAGTTAAAAACTCTGTAATGAAAACAATGAGTTCATATGCAATCGGCGCATGACAATAAGTTGGAATTTCATTAAAGCGAGGTTTAACAAAATACGAGTATGCATGGCCTTCTCCACAGCATCCTCATTACTGATGACGGAGATGATGATGAAAGCCTAACCGATATGCTATTGAGCTGTGGATACGAGTAGTTCAAAGTGGAAGTACGCATTTACATGGACATATACATATGTACATAAATACATAAGTATTAAGTAGAATATAGATATATGTCTATTTGAGCCAGAGGGATTATCGTTTTCCAACCGCCAGCAAGCGTACTCAAAGTTTAATTTATGAGTAGAAAGACTACCTACAATAAAGAAGAAACATACAAAAAGTATACATACGTATATGT